ATAAAAATTCATCGTTTCGCATTAGTAAGAATGGATTTGAATTTTATTTTTTTATCATTCAAATAATTCTTTTACGTGTATCAAATCGTTTTAGCGAACTTCTGACCAGCACTAATTGGAACGCGTTTAAACTTGCATGCGAATTCGATTCGAACTGTATGTGGCAATGGCAAACTTGGATACATATCCGCCGGATACATACTCTGAGAAACTTTATACATATAAAGTAAAATGCAACAACTTTAGTGACATAGCATATCTTAATCGGTGAAACTTTTATCTCGAATACGAAATAGCGACCAATTTACTTTTAGTACTTAAACGATAACGTGTGTTATCAAAAACCACTTTTCGTGTTTTGCCTTTTTTATTAACATTGACCGCCTCATAAACGGCGACTCGACGATGGTCTGCAATTTGGTCGCCGGTCGAAAGCGTTGTTGTCGGTGTTTTTCTTTCCTTTTTCCTCGAGCCATGTGCGACCGCTATCGCAAGTGAATTCTCAAACGAACGAATGTCGATATGAAATGGCGAACACGGTTCGTCGTATTTCGGCGGTTAATCATCCAAGTGTCGTGATGCGAGTAGACACGACGGTATCCCGTTGTGTCCGCAAAAGATCGAAATTGTTCAACCCGCGGTCGGTGTAGCGTCCAAACAGAATGGACTGTTGGTGGACATTTTGGTTAACACATTAATATTGAAATAATATGGTGCAAAGCACATATCGGAAAAGTTGAAGTAACTCGACACTCCGGTCGACATTTCAGCAAAGCTATGCGTAATATTATTCATTTCCTCTTGAATATTCTATTAGAATACATTAATTAAAAATGTATATATCACATTATTATACAATTATATATTATAATTCTATAATCAGTTATTGTAATTTATTAAAAATTTATCACAGAATTAATTAGACGAAACAAGATGTATATATTACATAATTATTACACAATTATATATTATAATTCTATAATCAGTTATTAAAAACTTATTAAAAATTCATCACAGAATTAATTAGACGAAACAAGATATAGTTAATTAAAAAATTAAATATCTATTTTTAAAAAATATCAAGGTACATGTCGTATATTCTAAAATGAAAACATAACAACAGTTTTCGCCAGTTGATACGTGAGTAAATCGTCTTAATTCTATATGTTCCGAAAGGTTATTCGTTACTGACCTATATTGGACTCTCAAAAGGGCTCTGCAGTAATATTGATCACATGTATTTTGATACAGAGTGACCGTAAACTAGCAGTGTAAATCAGCGATGACCGAAATAGCACTTCCGATAGATTCGGAACAGGGACGATAGATAGAATGCAGAGGTCGCGGTAAAATGTTTCGGAGCAAAAAGCGGATGACACGATGGAGATCGCGTGACCGCCGCGCAACGTCGACATAAATTATTTATGAATTACAGTGCCTGGTCATCGGTGCGAGAGTGTAGGCGAGTAAGATCTGAAAGACCATACGTGCACAAATATATACATGCACGAAGCACACTCACACACATGCATACATATCCACACGCATGCGCATATGTATGTATGTGTGTGAGTGTGCTTTGTGCATGTATATATTTGTACAGTGTGACTTGTAGAAGCCGCATTCTGGAAGGTAATGTTCGTCATCGCTGATGATACTCGACAAGAAAAGGACGGAAAGAAAAGGAGTCAGGGACGGAGTCAGGGAGAACTTATCTTAGAAAGACATGTTAGAATCTGTGAAATGACCACAAAGTTTCTCCATAAGTTAATTCCTAAGCATGTGGGTTACGTGCGTCAATATAGTTACGTCGATGGTATTCTGCGCGTGGCGAATGCATAGGGACTGCTAACTTCGCGCATCTTTTAAATCGCCATCAGCCACAGATTTTCTACATCGGTAACGAATAGCCTTTCGGATTGTTTAATATGTTTTTCTTTTCAATAATTATTTTTTATAAGCTTTTAAATATGTAATTATATTGAAAACTGCTATAAAATAGCATTATATTAATTAAAATTTTGTTTTTTTAGAAATATTATCATAATAAGCTACTTAATGTGCTTAGGCCTGGTTCCACCAACGTTACTTTGATTTTAAGCAAAACTTAAAACTCTCTCTGTCTCGTTTTAAAGCAAAAAAGAGATTGAGACAGAGAGAGTTATAAGCCTTGCTTAATTAAAGTCAAAGTAACGTTGGTGCAATCGGGCCTTATTCCATTTAATATTTGTTTCGTTTCTACTTACTTTTTTCAAAAAATTATGATTAAAATCTATACCCATAATTTCTCAAACAATAATAATAAATAGGAAAACAATAATATATTGTTAATAATGGTGATTTTAATTAGGGTATAAAAACATCAGATGATCGTTTACGTATTCTCTAAAAGTGAATCAGTGTATTATCACTGACTTCAGTACTATACTTGTAACTGTAATATCAGCGAATATTTACTGTTTTTCAGTAACAATACACTGATTCATTTTGAGAAGTTATGTTTTCTACAGATTGAATATGCAGAAAATCATAATCTCTAAAGTGAATCAGTGTATTATTACTGAAAAACAGTAAATATTCGCTGATGACTTCAGTGCTACACTTATAACTGATATAATTAGTAATAATACACTAATTCATTTTTAAAGAGTAAAAAAAATCAGGTGACTACTGTCGGCTTAATATTCAAACCAATTCAGAACTGACGCCTCAGCTACTTTTTAATTAAAAATTAAAAGAAAAAGAACAAGAGTATATAGTTGAGAATAAAGAATGTCATACTTATAATTAAAGTTTTAATATTAAGAGTAGACCTGTATCGCTGATAATTATCTGTCAAAATCTAATTGAGCAATTCGTAAATAGCTTACAACTGAAACGTATACGCGACTTTTTAAGAACTACAATACGATAATATAAAGCGCAATTTCATAAATACTAATAATTCTAACAGAAGCGTACAGAGAAAAGATAGTTACGGTAACGCGATGCAATTTATCGCAAATAGCGCGTGTCGTAAATTTCATCGAATACAGACACGAAATCGCACTTATACTGTTACTACTGTTAGAAAAGACATGGAGTTAACACGATTACAGCATGGCAATAACGCTTATAAGTATATTATAAAAATACTCATTGTTGACCGCGATAGAGAGATAAAGTATCTTTACGAACTCAACCGTGCACGCAATTTTTTCACGCTCGGAGGAACACGTCGCGATTGTCTCGAAAGAAACGACCGTGTAACTTTTACTTCGTGATTAAATTAAAAGCCACAGCTTAAAAAGATGGAAATCTCTCTAAAGCACATTACGTGCTATACATATAATTTATATACTTTTCCGGTCATTATTTAATGCGAAATTTTTCCGTATCGTTACGTTCAGTATAATAACGACATTATTCCTTCGCGAATATTTTCACTCTACAAAAAATTTATCGACACTGTCTCTTCGATCGTCGCAAAAAAAGGATTTTAAACGGTTTATGCGATATACTAAAAAATTGTACCTAGAGACAATATTCTAAAACTCTCTGGACCAAGCAGCGGATGCTGGCATGTTGTTTTGTTCGCGCTTTAATCTCTACGTTTGTACTTCGGAACCCGTGCAGCAAAACTGTAAAGTTCTCGTGAAATGTAAACACAACGCGATGAGAAAAGAAATATACCTATATTCCGCTCGTTGCTTGCGATACAATGGCATATTTTGTCAAGTAACGCTTCGATGCGCGTTTCAATTTGTTACGACACGCACAACAAGAAACGTCTGTTTCACACGTCGCGTACTAATTATAACTTAAATTAGAGAAGTTCCTTGATAATGAATGCAAGAATGCGTGCGAAACATCGCTATAATATTCTTGCCATTTTATGAAATCATGAAAATGTAAAATGAATCATCAAGTACAAATCGCAGCGAGGATAAAGTAATTATGTGATAATTAAAATTCTGGCATAATAACAGTAATTATTCTTTCATATCTAGCATAATTTTAAAAGATTTGCTCAGGTTATTTTAACGTCAAATCCAAAAAGCTTTTAGTGTATATTTTAAATATATAAAGATGATATTAATATAGAAACTCACACATTTTATAAGTCTAATGCACAAAAGTCGACATTATTTATGGCATTGGTAAAGAAGAAAACAGTTGGCGAATTACTCAGATTCAAAGACGAATTAACTACTCGTTATCAGCAGTTGGCGGCTATTTTTCGCTAGACGATATATATATATATATATATATATATACGGGTTGATTTCTATCGGAACGAAGTCGAACTATTATGCGAGGCAGAACGGGGAATTGGAACGAGCAGATTCGTTCGAATGGGCCGACCGTACTACAATCGGGCCTGGATTTTCTCCAAGACGAGGACTTTCGTCGGTTGGATAAAAAGAAGAGGAAAAAAAACGAAAAATGGGAGAAAAGTTTCCCGTCCCGATGAAAACCGTTGGACAGGTATTAAGAAAGCACTCGTCGCGACCGTACGAACTTTGCCGTGCCATTTCAAAGATTGGATTCTTATTGAGGATTTCATCGTATCAATCGTCGTTTCCTGGCGACGAGACGAGTTCCTTTCGCGATCCGAGATATGCTCGCTGATGGATATGAGCGTAACACAGAAAAGATTATATGGAAAACGAGCATCTAAATCCTAGATGCTTGACTGGCAATATTCAATATTCGATACAAGAAAACTCAATGAACTTTCAAAGAAAACTAAAATTTTGCCAAATGTTTCATTCATAATTATCAATTTTACTGTGTTACGTAAACTTTTACTGATATGTTCACTTCTTTCTTAAACTTTTGACATAAATATATTTTTCCTTGCAAGTACTTTAAACAATTCTAAAAGTATGTAACGTTTAATTGCAATTTATTTTAATTAAAAAAAAAATATTTGATACGTTTCCCAATTTTTACTCAAATTTATATGAAAAAATCTTAGTAAAAGTTTAGTAAAAATAATATGAAGAAATTGTACTCACTTTAAGAAGGAAGCAAAACGTTCACGTGTTTTAGATCTAATCTTCTTTTTATCTAAAACAAAAAAGGAACACAAAATTAATAAAATTCAAATCATGAAAAAGATAAACATGTAAATATAAAACAACTTTGTTTATGATATTATATCAAAAGTCACGTTTCTACGAAAGTGATACCAAAAATGCTTAAAATCACATACTTATATTATTCAACTAATTAACATTTTACAATACATCGATAAATAACCTAAATTTATCGCTGAATATCGATATATATAAGTTCCATAATATAGAGTTAACAGTTTTCAAAAATCGCAAAAGCGATTATTTTCACTGTCGTTAATTGTTCATCTTTTCATTATTTTATCAAGATATTTTTATCTCCTCCTGAGTTATTTTAAAATGTTTATTATTTATATCTTAAGGGAATCCTAAAGCGAAGCTCCAACTCCGACAAAGTTCCTACATGTCACTGTTTTTCCAGCGCATCGACATATCTTTATATACTACACACCAATATCTCACGCAACCTATGATACATTCAGTCGCACATTCGTGTCAATTTTCGTATAATAAATTCGTCGCGATAAAGCGTTTAAGTCTGATTCTAAGAACTCGACGTTATTTGTTCGTGCAAACTATGTGTTTGTGTATTATTTCGTAAGTACGGGTCGCAAACTTTCGTACCAAACAAATGTTATCACAACTTGACAGTCTGAGACGCCATGTCACACAAAGTAATGGCAAAAAATATATAAATTTTTGGCCGTTCTCGGCATAAACTCCACCTCACAAACACGTATTAATGCATATACTTTAATCCTGGAAGAGGATTTTCGAATCTCTAAAAAAAAAAGTTACTTTTTTCCTCTTTTACTGATTTGAAAATCCTTTTCCAGGATTAAAGTATACGCATTAATACGTGTCTGTGAGATGGAGTCTATGCTGAGAACGACAAAAAATTTCGAAAATGAGATCTTCTTTATAATTTCTTAGTCCAATATGGCGCTCCAGAGCTGTTAACGTCGTGGCAACATTTGCTCCATATAAAAGTTGTGCAATCTGTACTTATAAAATAGTAGTCCACGGACTAGTAGTTTGCATGAAGAAACAGTGAGAAGTTCTTAAAATTGGACTTAGACGTCTAATTAAAACATAATTGTTATACGAAAATGTATGTATGGCGTGCGTGAGTGAGATATTGATATAGTGATGTGTCAATGACGTAAATCGTCTGTGTAAGTGTTATTCTCAATGACTAGTCTTTAGGATCTCCTTAAAGATTGAAATACAAAAAATAGCAATTTTTTTCTTCTAATGAGAAGGAATGAACAACGTTCAATTTATTTTTCAAATTATGACTCGATCGTTAAATTGCATTATTATCTAATTGAGAGACATTCTTTTCTTTTACACTGTTTCATCATTGATTCTTGTGATTAGAATGCGAAATCGTTAGAATAATACAACGAGCAATGTTCGAAGGACAAGGGGTTTTCCCCATCGACGGGAAAAATTGCAAATAAATAGCAGTTATAAATGCGCGCTATCGTCGTATTATTATGCCACTTTCGCATGGCATGACTAGCACGAAATAACGCCACGTAATACAGCGAAATACGCTTATGTGCGTGTAGGAGGAAAAGATTTTAATAAAGTACGCCGAGTTCAAGATTCGCGATATAAAATGGCTTGGAATGACGAACTGAAACGTGATGTTGAAATGATGAGAGAGAGAATTCATGGAAATTGTACATTCCGTAGAATTATTTCATAAAAAGAAAAAATTCAGCTAAATCTCACATTCAGATGTATACAGAAGTTTTTTAATTTCTTTCAGATGTATAAAAAATTTTTTTGTAATTTAAATTGAAATTATAATTCCTATTTCTCAGCGTTTTTTAATTAATCTAAAATAATAATGCAAGCAATACGATAATGATTGGATATTAAAGTGCAACGGAAGTGCACGTAAAAAGAAACCGACCGTAAGAATCGTAATGATAGTGCAGGCGTATTAATATTTTTTTTTCTCGGCAACCTACACGATGACTTTTATTTTGAACAGAAAAAGATAAACATATGGTAAATCCCCGGAGTACGACGAATACGAGTTGCACAGATCCATTCATAGAGTCAACAAAATTTATTTGCCAAACAAATGGCCTTTACCTCCTGCTTTTGATAGATTGTATGAAACCTCCCACGTATCTCCAATAAATTTTTAAAGTTGAAAAAATACGAATATTCGAGCTTTGACATGAGCTGAATACATAAGTTCTTAACGTACAGCTGATATTAAAATTTTTCATGATATACTGGCGGAGTTTCCTATCACTCTTTTTTTTTACGAAAAAGAGGACACGCACAATGAAAAAAAAAACTTGAAGTTTCAGTGCTACTTTCATGAAAATGCGAAATTCTAAATCTTAAATATTTAATTGAAAAATTTACAGAGATTTAAATTTATTTCTGCATATTTAATATCGCAAGATCGGCCGTTGAAAAATAAGTAACTGAAATACGAGATTCAATTTCGCTTTAAAAAGGAGCTATCCCGCTTCTCGAGTACATACACCCAAAACCTGGACTAATGCGATTCTCTTGCGAAACATGAACGCATCCTATTGGACGATGCGATCGCGTCTCTTGTCGCAGGCAGATTCAATTAAACGTCGGGCATCACAGACAACCAATGCGGGAGTATCGAGTCAAAACCGACTCGATTTTCGGCGACGGTACATTATCGAACAAAAGTCCAATTCAAAGCGTTTCCCCAAAATCCCGTTTTTAACAAAAGAGCGAGAAATAGAACGCCATATTAGATCCTCCAGGCTTAATGCAACTTCAGTAGCAAATTTATGAGAAAATTTAAGAATAGAAAAAAAGAATCAAATTCTATAGATTTTTCTTGAATTTTTTCTCAACAAGACTTATCAATTATTTAATAGTTGCAGTCAAATTCTTAATGATTACAGAAAATAAAATAATTAGAGAGATTTGAAAATTCAAACAAGAAGGTAATAATGAGGTTTCAGATAAGAAGCTTCTAGCTCACGATACACATATATGTATATGTATACATATATCATTTTTTCAACCAGTAAATTCGCCTTTTACTTTTGATATTTTTATTCTTCCAATCAGCGATTTACGAGCTATTTCGATTTGGCGATATTGTGCGAATAGGAAAAGAGAAGGTGAATGAGGAAACGAATATATCTTTTTATTGCGACTCTATTTTAATGGATGAACCAACGATGGGACAGTACGTGATAAACAAACGAATCTTGGACAGGAAATTCGATTCGAGAAGTCGTACCGACACGTTTTATTCATGGTGCTTGAGTCTGAATGTCGAGAAGATATTCCCTTCGTTCACGACGTGTTTTATCGCGTAATCAAGCCAAAAGCGAAATCTACGATCTTCGAACTTTCTTCCCCTCCTTCCTCCGCCCTTTCTCTCTTTTAGAGTAAAGGAAAAGGAGTAGAGACTATCTAAACGAGAGACGATCTCCGTTACACGTTTCAAACCGCTCTGAAACCTCATTCTTTGAGGTAATAATACGAGAAACGCGAACTGCCTTTCAGAAATATTTCATATGTACACCACTGCGATCGGAAATATATGTAGCGTGAAATATAAGAATTTTCTGAAGAATTTCCATTTTCATATTATCTATTAATCTATGGATTGATCGAGTTTCAGATGGATTCATTTTTTATAAACAAAACCAAAGATATTTAATCAAAGATATTTAACGATATTATATATTCAGCATCGCAATATTTAACGTATGAAAATACTTATATTACGTTATATATATAATCTTAACCGATACCATATATAATATTTTGATCTTATACATTAAAAAATTGCTTAGCAATTTGATATTTATACATATACTTATATAGGGGAGACTAGGGCTGTATAGTGGACTAATTTTTCAGTTTCGAATTTTTACAGACAAAATTAAGAGACTTATCGAAAAAATGAATTCTACACCAGTTACTACATACATTTGACTTATATTCTACTTATCCCTATAGTTTACTGATCCCGGTCTCCCCTACTTGTTATTTTTTATATACAATTCTTCATATCATTATTTTAAACAGTATCTACTTTATTCGATTCGTCTTTGAAATACCATGTATATCAGGGATCGTCCTTGGGAACGTACGACTCAACGAAATCGAGTTTTCATCCGCTTTATCCGCAGCTTCCGTCGTTCGCTCGATGGAACGCGAAAACCCGCGAGAGGCATCGGTTATATAGAAGAACGGCTTCCACCGTGTCACGAAGGTTGGACCGGTTCCAAGTCGCGAATCGATTGACCCCCAAAACCAATCGGTAACACAGGGTGTGCAAAATCTTTATACTCACGAAGTCTTCTTAAGACTTCTCTAATCAATCCAAAGATAAACTTTTTTTTAATAAAACTGCCGAGAAATCCATAATATTTAAAATACTCGAGTAAGATTAAAACAGAATGCAGACAAATAGTTAATAAAATTAAATGTGAACTTTATTTAAACAAAATTATATTTTATATCATATTTAGTTACTAAAATATCGATTAATGCCAAATAATTAATATTTAGAATTAATAGATTATCGGAAAATAGTATAAATAAAATAAATCACAGTGCAAACACTTAATAAAATTAAATAAGCTTTATTTAAATAGAATTATACTTTATGGCATTTGGTTACTAAAATATTGATTAACGTCAAGTAATTAATATTTGAAATTAACAAATTATCAAAAAATAGTATACCAAATCTCGAGTCAAGATTGATTCAAGAGATAATTTAATGTCAGAATCACTCTGTATATTCTCCGTGGATAACAAAACGAAGAAGCGATAGAAGAGATAACTGCATCGCGAAGCAGCGATCTGTCAGATGGTAGCATTGGCTGACATTTACATGCAGCTGAACAATCGTACGTCATCTCCGCAAGTTGTAAAGTAAAAGTTAGCTTCGTAACAACACGGGCATCGTGCATCAATGATTTCGCTTATACAGAGTGTCTCAAAGCTAACAGGGTG